TCCCTCCCCCTCTCTCTCTCCCTCTCCCTCTCTCTGCCCCTCTCCCCCTCTCCCCTTCTCCCCCCTCTCTCTCTCCCTCCCCCTCCCTCCCTCTCCCTCCCTCTCCCTCTCCCTCCCTCTCCCTCCCTCTCCCTCTCCGGCTGTGGGGTTAAATTTGGGGTTTAGGGTCTAGCTGAAGCTTTTGAGTTTGGGGTTTAGGGTTAGGGTAAAAGGAGACAAGCTTCAGATCGACAAGGGCTTAGGGAGGGTAGGGCTTAAAGTACGGGTTAAGGTGAACAAAACAGGACCGCCGGGAATGCCAGACGCCTGACCATAAAAAGGAGGTCTCCTATAAGGTCTGCTACAGCAGTTTTCAGATGGTATTCTACGAGGTATATACAGGGTAAAGGGGGAAGAATTCTATAAGGTATTCTGAAGCGTGTTCCAAAAGGTTCGACCTTCCGTTCACGTTGCGCGAATAGGCCAGCACATGAAACACCGGACTTTGTGAGTTATGGAAGTGTGCGTTTCAGTCGACGAACAGGCACAGTCGACCACGAGTCTAAGGGGTACACCCAGCAGCCATGCCAGGTGTTGAAGATCTCAACCTGGAGAGGTGACAGGCTAAGGCTCTCTTCCTGCAGGAAAGTGCCCGGAATGCCTGGGCAGCACTGCACCAATGTTCGACTAACAACCCTAATTGATATTTTGGGCTGTGGAGGGTCCAGCACTGTCGAGAAACGGTGGTCAACAAAGCCAAACCCTGTCAGCGCACACCTTTGCGATCCCCGAGACACCCAGAGAAAAGACAAGTGTTCCAATCAACTCAGGGAAAATTCTGCAGAACTCAGAATCTGGCTGTGTTCAAAGGGCCGTCCTCCTGGTTGCGCCCGCCAAAGGCATACAGCCTCAGGCTCGGCTGGGCCATCCAGCTCAGCGGGAATTGAAACGACGACATTTAACCATCCTGTACATTCCTCTACCATCCCCTAGGCATCTGGCATGTTGGGCAAGAGGCCATCGAAGCGCAGGAAGGGGCTGATGGCCTTTCTTTCAGTCGTCAAGTAGTCTTCGTTTGGCTTCTTACCATCATGGCCAGGCAGCCTCCACATACAAGAAGGGTGGGAGTGCCCTTCGCCGCCGTAACGGTGCACCCACATCGGAGGTGCTTCCAATCCGCCTCCCAAGATTTACACAGAAATACTGTCACGCTGGATGGCATTCTAGTGAAAGACGGTCAAGCTCCGGAGAGCTTGAGTGTCAGCAGAGATCAGCGAAGACCACTGCACCTAGATCTCACAGTCACTGAAGCGGAACCTGTCATCCAGAATCAACTGACCTTATGCAATGCGCGGGATCTTTCGCAACTGCCGATAGGTAATTTGTCCGTGGTCTTGTGCACTCAACCTACAGTTTGGCATTTTACTGCAACAGCACTAGAGACTCCGGCCACCCCGGTAACCTGAATCCGGAGTCTCGCAGGCCAAGGGGCAGAGAGCTGCGCAGGCGAATTCATCGATCCACTTCGAGGCCTCCACAATTCAGACAGCGAGTGCCCTTGCAAAAATGTCACTTTGCTTTCAGCACATCCACTTGGCCTGCTCAACCTCTACAATCCTCAGTTGATAATCTCGGCAGCCGAGCCCTTGCTTTCGACGAGACTGCCGCAGGGCTAGCATCCATGGGCACCTTTCAGACAGACGAAGAGTGATTCGGGTTCTTCCGGGAATCTGCAGAAATAGAACCAAGGCACAACCATGGATATCGTGCTTAAAGCCGATACTGATGTGGGATGTATTGTAAAAATCCCATCTATGGGGCGTAGTTATAGTTGAACTCATAACCGGCTTGCACAAGATGCAATGAAACGAAATTATGCGTGGACGAACTGGGGATGGGTTGGGCACATAGCGCTGCGAGGTAAGATAGCGGTGGTGGCATTCGCGCTGGTGATGCTTGTGGCAATTGCTGTGGCGGTTGGACTGGACTGACTTGACGATGAAATGGAACGACCTCGCGGCGCCTGATCGGGCAGACTTGACCTCGCGGTCTCACGACCTCGCTTCAGCATCTCATCTCAAACCCTCATCTCGCGGCCTCGCGGCCTCACTCCGGCACCCAAAATGCCGAATTATGCCAAAAAGAAATCACGCGAATCCATGTGTTGCACGGGTCGGTCGAGGATTGAATGAAAAAATATGTTGTAACTTTTGCTCCACAGTGGGCAATTGGTGGGTTTGACGTGTAACCGCACTACTTGAGTTGAACATGCGGTGGTGGTCGTAGTGGTCTTAGTGGTCGTCGTAGTGGTCGTAACGGCCGTAGCATTCGCAGTGGTCGTGGTCGCAGTGGTCGTAGTGGTCCTAGTGGTGGTAGTCGCAAACGTCGTTGTAATGGCACTAGCAGCAGCAGCAGCAGCAGCAGCAGCAGCAGCAGCAGCAGCAGCAGGTGCAGGAGGAGCTGAAATAAGCATAAGGAGAACTAGCCGCTGTAGTCCATATCCGCACAACTCATAACACCAGACACTTCCGCGCCTGGAAGCCCTTGGCACCGGCCAAAGCTCCCAAGCCAAGCTTGCGTTAGATTGGAGGCGCGCCCAGCAAAGCGATACAGGAAGTCCGCGAATGAAACAACTGTGCCTTGCATGCAATCTACTTGCCGACGCATCGCCAAATCAGCAGCTGTGAGCGAATGGCACTTGTTTCTCGAAGCGCATTGAAAATTTGTTTCCAATATCTCTCAGCCAGCCAAAATTTCTGGCCAGCTGCTATGCACGTGAGACAGAGACTCGCTGATTGCACTGCCACTAAAAGACCCTCGTTCTTCGGAGACCAACAGGGGCTTCCCGCAGGGAATATCCATATGTCTTGGCATCTCCGTCTGCAAAACTTGCGGCCTTCACCAGTGCAGCCCCTGAGAGCATGCTTTATGCAGCAGTCGACAGGCAGTCTTCCTGGTAGTTTTTGGTGGTGACAACAGCCCATATCCACACCGAGCAGGACATTGTGTGCATGGGCGTCTCGGGAAACACTGACTGCATGTCGACTTGTAGGCATTGGTTCACATGTCTCAGTCGCTGTCAGACTCCTCCTTTTTATTGTCGTCTTCCGTCCTTGCTCCTGCGGTACCACCAGGCCCAAGCAAATACACGCCGACTGCAACCGGTCTGCCGACGAAAATGAAAGACTGCAACCCTGCTGTTTATACCAGATCTTCTGCAGAAGGCTGCCTTCGACTTTGAACGGCGACTCTTCGCGTGTTGATTATCTTCTGTCCGGCCTAGTCCAGTACGGAAAGGAAGGAGCAAGGATAAGTGGACCGAGGCCTCTCGTAACGGTAGTGTTGCAGTGCTTCAGATCCCGCAATGCAGCTCGGTCCTGGAATGTAGGTGGGGTGTATCACACGCCTGCCTCCACAGAAGCCAGTGCAGCATGTTTGCACATTAGATTCGCAGACATGGTTACTTGGAAAGCAATTCCGTGGAGGGGCCTGTGGGCTCGTTGTCAAAACCTCGCTGGCCAAAGACCTGAGAACCCGAGAAGGCAGTGTACAATCAGGATTGCATCGAAAAGCCTGGTGCAAAGCCTTGCCAACTAGTGAGAAGTGAGAAGCGGGACGAGTGAAAAGGGGAAAGAGAAGGCGTCCCCCGGCGAGGCAATTGAGAAAATATATTTATGGAGGGCAGCTCAGTGCAATTCTGGGATCGCCAAGGAATTGAAATTGCATGTTGGCGCCAGCACCTGGTGGAGTGACTCTCGAAATGTGGCTTGAAGAGTCCTAGAAGCCTACAGGATCCTGCACTCGAAATGCCATTCCTATGACGATCGCTTAAAGAGGGTAGAACGCCGTTCGTTCGTCAATCAATCGCAAAATTATGTAGGAGGTAGCTGTAGATGCAGCCCTCCTACTTAGAATGTCCTCAACTTGAGAGCGCGGGCGCAGAGCAGACGTCGCACCTGCCTAACAGTCTAGACACAGCTGGGAAGTTGTTTTCAGATGACAATTCTGCGAGTGCAGCTACTGGGTGCTAGTTTAGATAAACCACCAGTACAGTGCTAAAATAGAGATGGTCCCTACATGCCGTGTTTCCTATATTCATCCAGACTCTAGACCTACACGGTGCTGCGTTCCGGAAAAGTTCTGCACCGAGTTACCGCATCCTCACGCTTGCAAACAGCCATCTGCTGTGTACTGCTAATGTCTTTGTGCGGTGCTGGCACCTGGCAGGCATTGCAAGACGTCCTGAGCCTCCGATACTGACAGCAAACTCATTGACCGAAAAGAAGCACCAACCCAGACAACTCCTGAATGTAGCTACCTGGAGGTCTCTGTATGATGCAGTGTTAGGAGGAAAACTGTGCGAGGCACAGGCTAGATGCACCACACCAGCTCTTCCTCGTCTTCGACTTAGGGCTGATCACGTTCCATTGGGAAGCCGGGTGATTCGACAAAGTTGCTGGCTCCATTACAGCTTTCCAACAACCTCAGAGAAGCTCAGCACTTAGCCGTGAACATGTCCCAGTCCAGCTTTCTGACCTGCATACTACAAACAGTACGGCGGTCGAGCACTTTCAGAATATCAGGCTGCTGCGATCCTAGATGCTTGGACCCGAACGGGACCGGCTGCTGGCGGCCTCTCGGAGACATACCGCAACGTCTCCTCAAGCAGGGGTCAATCAGCGCGGCACAGAGGCCATCGAGCGCGGCGAAGCGAAACACATGATGTCTTTCGCCAATAGAGTGGGAACTGCACTAGATTGCGTTGCACAAGCAATCGGTCTAATGATGGCAATCAGTTGCTTGTGCTCCCAAACCATTCAGACATCCTGCTCGCAAGCTTGGGAAAGGAGGCGAAAAGAGCCCAAGGGGTTGGAAGGAGCTTGAAACGGAAGGCGGCAGCCGCTGCCGCTGTCACTGTCACATGTCCGAGAATGCCGGAGTGCGTGTCTGCGATCTGTTCTACCTTTTGTCTTTGTTTGTCTGATTGCTTTGCCAAGTCCATTGTTTGTTTTATCTTTCCCATCGCTTGCGCATGCTTAACAAGTTTCGTGGTCGCGGTAAGTTGTCGGTTTCGTTTGCCAACATCTGCACCTCTTACATCGATTCTCATGGCTCGAAGCTTGGAGCTGAAGACCAAGAAACGAAGGAATCAAAGACTGTAAGAACCCGAACTCTGAGGTTTTCACCAGCCGTCGAATTAGGCGGTTGCTCGAGGCTCCCGAACTCGGCCTCGATGCTCCTGCCAGGACTACGCGTTGGCTTAACACTCATGAGTCGTGCGACGTATCTCGAAGCTGACACGAACACGCACACACACACACACACACACACACACACTCACGCACACACACACACACACCCACACACACACACACGCCCGCATTACGCCCGCACAAGCACACTAACGTGCACATGCACGCGCACTTCTCCACGCGCGCGCGAGCTCGAGCGCACATCCACACGCAATTCTGGATCCTGCTGTTTCCAGCGGCGCTGCAGCGACGTGCTGGCCTGCAACTGCATCCACAGGACAGCATGGCTTGTAGATTTCAGTGTATAGCAGACCACCAAAAACATCGTTATGGTGCTGATGTCGTGAATTGTCGTGACGAGGCACTGGAGATGCGAGAGGCCCAAGAAGGACACGAACGCGAGGATGGGGTCCGAGCGCTTTTGCCTGCTCTGACATCATGCACTTCGAGGATCAAGCTTCTGAGCATGTCCATCTGTTGCTTCGCAAGCAAGCTCTGTATGGGGAGTCGCGGGAAAGGGTCATGGGGGGGGGGGGTGGCCGGAAGAATTTTGAATGTTGCTGGGAGGGGGGACGTTATCATTCAGGGACGCAGATCCTGACCCAGCTCGACGTGGCCCTGTTCAAACCGAACAACTCAGGGCTCACAGCTGCACCCCCTTGCCCTCACATGCGCCGCAGTTGCGCAATTGTCTCTTTCGAGAGGTGCACCAAAGATTTGCCAGCCCACATCTCTGGCTTGATCAATCAAGAAGGTGGGACAATAGGGTGTGCAAAACACTATGGTCTCGTAGCCAACATGGCCACGACCCATGAGCACCTGTCATGTTCGTTTCCCTCCCTTCCTCCCGAATGGCTTCACGCCCTGTTTTGTTACTTCTTTTTCCTGACGCCACTCAGAACTCAGCTGTTGAGCCGTGGCATCCAGAATCTTGTTCACCGCCGGTTCGCGAGCCTGTTGGCTCCAACTGCATGAAGCAATTTCTTCCACTTCTTGAAGGGCGCAGCTCGCTGCTTGGGTGGCCTACTGGCCCACTTTCCACTCTCTTCCAAGGGCAACTGCCCCGAGATACTGCAGGACCATGTCTGATCTGCGTCAGAAGAAGAGTTGCACTTTGGAGATCGGGACTGTCTTCGCCAAGTCTTGCCCCAGCCGCCATCCCCTCCCTCTTTAAGCCCTCACCCCAGCCCCCAACCCCCACACTTAGGGTTTCACGGTGTGCTTGGCCACTTGCATACGCGTTGTTGTGAGCTGCTCCGCTTTGGCCTCAGTACGGGTTCCAAGAAACGGGTTAGTAACTCCTAGTTTAAGCCCATTCAGGTTTTTGGGTTTACCATGGTGACCCAACACACTCTAAAAACCCCTTAAACATGAGAGAGATTTAGCGAAACTGGGCCAGTGGCTCTGGGCCATGCAGCGCTTTTTGAATTATTCAAGACGTCGGGGACGTTTCGAAAAATAAACTGTACGCAACCCCGAGTCCGGACGCAACTTGGTCCTTATAAGGGCCCGGAGGGCCTGCTGGATGTTTGACATCGTTTCTGAGGTATTTTGTGTGCACTGCATCTTTGGGTCCAGAATTTCGGAGTTGCTACACCGGCGGCCAGTTTTGCCCCTGACCCTAGATCCCAAAACCCCCAAACCCAGACACCCTGAACCCTTAAACCAAGAAATCCCAAACCCAGAAACCCCAAGCCTAGAAACCCTAAACTGCAAAGGAAACCCTGAATCCGGAAAACCTAAACCAGAAACCCCAAACCGAGAAACGCTAAACCCCAAAAACCCCTGAACCCCTAACCTAGAAACCCTAAATCCAGAAACGTCCAGAAACCCAAAATAAAATCCCTAAACCCTGAAACTAGAAACCCTAAAATCCAGGTACCCCAAACCCCTATAAACCAGAAACCCCGACACCCCGAATCAAGAAACCCTAAGCCCAGCCAAGTTCGGACTGGGACCTGGGTTGCAGATGCCCGGTTTCGAAAAAAAAATCCGCCCCCCCCCCCTTTCCCTCACCCTCCACGTCTGCGTCAAAAAAACGTAACCCGTCGTGGGAAAAGCATTTGGGACACCCCTCATAGCTCTATGGAAAGACCTCCACAGCTGCATGCAGCACCGCTTCGGCCGCTTCGCGAGCTCTTGATAGAACCTGACATCACGCCGGCCGCATCAGTCAGATGGTCTTCGGTTCATGTACGGGTGGTACAGAGATTACCGACTGTGAAACAAGACCAGTAGCCGTCAGTAGCCAGTCCATTTTGGGAGAAATTGGAAGTCGCTATCGTCGGAGCAGTGCAATCGGTAGCAGGGTGTTGTGGTTTTGTCAGCAGCGTCAGCCCGGATGCCGTGAACCAGGCATGTCAAATCAAGTCACTTAACGCCTCGCCTCCGGCTTGTCACATTCCCAACAGAATTATTCAATATGAGGGTAAATTACATTGGTGAGACCTCCATCATACCTCCATGGCCCACGTATACCTACAGCACACCTTTCATAGAGAAATGAGAGCGGTCCCGAGCAGACATTCTTGGCAGAGAGGGGACAGTTCTGCACTCGGACAAGCTGCATTTGCTCTTCTCTGGCGGCTTCACCTCCAAATCACCTCCTTGAAACGAGCAAGCTCCACCCCTGCATTAGTTAAACGAAGGGGTGTTCTCATGGCCGTTGTCTGTCATTTACATTCACAGTCGTTTATGTCAACTGGAAATGGAAGACCGATTCAGCCCAGCCCAAAACTGCCCAAAGCATTGATATTTGGATCGGAATTTGCATGGGGGCGCCACGAACACCAAATGAACAGTGCACGTGAAGAAGTCTTGTAGGTTTGCAGACGGCCAGCACCTCGGCTTGGCAGCTTTCTGCTTCGGTCGGTATTCGTCCGCACGCATGCTGGCACCTGCCACCAAGAGGAGAGACGCCTCTGGGCACAACACTCTCGGACATCCCTGAGGCCCTGAGGCCCTGAGGCCTGGCTGGGCACCAGCTGCTGGAAGCCCTCCATGGCCGAGCTGGTGGTGCCTGTCGACGGAACAGCTTCGTCTTTGTAGGACCGAAAACCGTGGAAAAAGAAGCGTTGTGGCGTGCCAAGTCATGTCTTCGCAAGCATGACGTGCGTTGATAGAACTATGGCTGCAGCCTCTCCAGGTCTGCGGGCTGTAACCCTCTTGGAAGGTGCTCCACATCTCCTCAGATACGTTGTTCCAGGAATTGGGAAAGCCACGAGCAAAGTACCTGCAACAGGCTCAAGGCTAAAGGAACACCCATCACCGACTTCATCCGCTTCACTCAGATGCCACGAGCTGTCTTGACATGCACTCTGGACGAGCTGGACATGCGGCAGAAGAAGACGCAAGAAAAACGAAAAACTCCACAGATCCCGTCACTTCCGATCTACTGCAGGGATCTGCAGCACAGCAAACCTCTTTCTTGGAACACGAGGCACTGTCCTTGTCCAAAAAAGGCATGTGCACTTACGCTGCAAGTTACTTTCTGGACCCGCCTTGATCGCGTTGCCTGTCGAGTTAGCGAGCGTAGAAAGTCTCGACTGCCGTGTGTCGTCCACCGAGCATAGCCTCGGCACGAGCTGTCCACTCGTTGCAGCTGCAGGGCGTTACCAGTAGCGTATTGCATCATGCCAACGAACATCAACGAGCAACATTGCAAGTCCGTAGTAAAAGCTCCTTCTGACAGCACTTGAGCTTTTCGGTCTGCTGGCATCATGTCCCAGTTGCGATCATCCAGGTATGCCCGCTCCGTGTACCAACTGAGAGCTGCATTGTTGGCCTTGCCGGAAACCGGTCGAGCAGCTCACGGGTACGTCATTAATTACATCGCCGGTTCATGCTAACTGCTCAATTCGCACAGGCGTTTACAAACACGGACAGCGATTGGGAGAAGACATAGAAGCTACGTACAGTATGCTACAGTGAATGAGGCAAGCCGACTTGCGGCACGCTGCTGCCAAGCTTCCAGAACGGGACTTCCAAAGTGTTTCACCTTCTTGTTCACGGGTAAATCACGCTCGCCACCTGATAAAGCTCACAAGTAGCATGGAGGAACGCTTACAATTAGTAAATAGGTCATGCAGCGAGCACCTGGTGTCTGGATAGCCGGAGGTTCTTCGTCTGTTGCAGCCATGGCGACATGCAACTTGCAGTAAAACGCACAGTGTTACCATCCTCTTAGCACCCCTCACCGAAATTGGCTAATGTTTATGTTTGTGGAAGCTTGCAAATTCAGCAGGCATGTTTCATTGAAGCAGTCCGCCACGCACCGAGTCCCTGCTGCCTCGTCTGTCAAGATTCTGCTATCACACTCTCAGATTACTGAGCCAAGGAAGTTGACACGCTGTTTGCGGCATTGCAAAAATTGCTTTGCACATGTGGCTGTTGATCGAAATTCCTTCATCCCGAAATAGCCTTCTTCGTGTACAACAACTCTACTTTTGCAGCACCATCGCGGAACTTTCGCAGAGGCATATTTACATGCCTTTGCAAGTTGTAGCCCGAGTTATAAGCTCAACATGAAGAGGAGATTTTCGGCTAGTGTGCTGCTAAACCCTTCTGCGCAGCATTTTGGAACTTCGTAAAGATGCCGCAAAGGCTATCTAACCGGTACAGCATATGTACAAGCTTCTCAAGGTGCTGCAAAGGCTTCTGGAAGGTGTCTTAACTGAAGGGCCGGTGCAAAGCCCCAGAAAGCTTCTCGATGGCAAGCTTGTACGGCATCACTAAGAAGTTCTGCAAAGCTTTCAGGGCTGCGTGCACGCTACAACAGTTTCAAAGGGCTGGTTAAGGCCGCCTTAGGGGTTGGATTTTTGGCGCAGCCGTCTTAAGGACTCGATTCTTGATCTGTGTACAATGAGCCCTGGCCTGGATCTGGCTACGTCAGCTTTAACGACGCTTACGCGGAACTTACGTGCTAAACCCGTACAGGAAACTAATTCTGGCGCCTGGCTGTAGCAGCAGCAGCATTAGTGAAAAAAGCAGCAGTAGTAGCAGTAGCAACCATCGACGTTAAGCCGTTAAGGGGATGCTGTGGCATGCTAGACTGATAACGCGGGTAAACTGCTCTGAACACTGATTCTCTCAATGCCCGGCGACGAATGCAACAGCAACCGGAGAACTACAAACACATTACAGACACCTCCGCAAAAGGAGTTTGCCCAACCGCAAGCAACCCGCCTGCACACTTAGCCCCACACACAGTCATGTGTGCACCCAGACACCGACGACAATCTGGACTTTACAGTGGTTGCGCCCATACCAAGCTGGACCAAGGCTTTGGGCTGACTTCGTCTCGGCGCGCACGCTGATTTTTACAAGCAGAAACCAACAGAGACGGCATGGCTGTCAGAGAATCTGCTATCGATTCGCATCTTGCGACCTCGAAGCAAGCTTGCTCTTCACTGATGCATGTTGAGACGCCGCTCTTCGGCAGTCAAATCTCTTGTGTGTCAGATTCTGCAAAGGAAGTCGGTGCTCCGCCTCTTGTGCTGATGCGCACGCTCAGCGACAGGACACTTCTGCCGTGAAGTAAGCTCAAGTGTTAGAACTCGGGATCTGGCAGGGCTCCATTTCCCTGCCCTGATTCTGCGATAGCTTACATAAACAATACGGCGGGCTCAGTTTTTTAATGCATGCGATCGTCGTCCTGATAGAAAGCCCAGAGTGCCAGCTGGAACGAAATCCTTCAGCACTGGGCTATGGCATTCTCTAAATCTCTGACTAGACACGAACCGAAACCCTGATATAAATCTGCTCTCTGCTTCAACTATGCAACTATGGACCTATCGGGCTAATCGCGAACACCTCGGAGGGTAACCATAGCAGGTCATTTACGACGACTTCGACTCAACAGCCGGCCGCATCCTTGAAGAGTTGGAACACCTCCAACACTTTCACAATTTCAACATGCCCCTTCTTATGAGCACGAGCAATTGCTGTAGCTCCATCAGTTGTTCGAGCCTTCTTGGCATCGGCATTCGCAGCGAGTAGTAATCGTACAACTTGTTTGTGACCGTTCTGGGACGCGAAGAGCAAAGGCGTTGCGCCGTCCAAACGAGCAGCATTCACCCTTGCTCCTGCCTGTAGCAATTGCCGGGCCGCATCTATGTGGCCACCTTCGCAAGCAACGGTAAGGGGCACAGCACCATCTCTCGTTCGGGCCTTGTTCAAGTCGGCACCAGCCTCGATGCAAAGCTGTAAAACTCGAGCAAACCCATGATATGAAGCCACAAAGCTTGGCGTTGCTCCGTCCGACCGACGAGCGGCATCAATGTCAGCATGGTTCTCAAGTAACAGGCTCACTTGGTTGCGAAGGTCGAGCTCAGCTGCAATGTACAGTGGAGTCGCTGCTGGCTGCGAAGCTTCTTTGTTGACCTCTGCACGATGCAGAATCACCAAGCGGGTGACGTCACACACATCAGAACAAACGGCAGCAGTTAAAACGGTGGTGTCATCCGGCGAGCGCTTGACGCATGCGTCTGCGGCTGCTTCGAGCAGCAAACGTACTACTTCAACATGACCGTAGCTAGCGGCCACGAACAGAGGGGTTGCACCATCTCCAACCCGACGGGAATCAGTGTGAGCTCTTGCCGCCAGGAGGCTGCGCAGAACGCTTACCCGACTGCTCCCTGCAGCCAGAAAAAGGGGAGTGTATCCATCTGCACGTCGAGCACTTGTGTTCGCACGGGCCTCTAGCAGGAGGTGCAGCAACTCAAGGTTGCCCGCAAGGACTGCACAGTGCAAGACAGAGACACCATCAGAGCGTCGCTCATCCTTGTCAGCCCCATTTCGGAGCAAGAAGCGTGCAACAGCCACATGACCCTTCAGAGTGGAGACGATGAGTGGTGTGGCCCCGTCCGAACTCCGCGGCTTGCAGACGTCGGCCCTATTTTCAACCAGAAGACGAACTACCGGCAAATGACCACAGCTAGCAGCCACAAAGAGAGGAGGCTCGTCGACAGGGCAAATGGCACAATCGACGGGCTTGTTTGGATCAGCCCATGCCTGGAGCAGCATTTTTAGAATCTTCACGTTGCCCTGGCTCGCAGCAACATCCATCGCTCTGGCACCCAACTCTGACACTTTGTATCCTGCCCTAGCTGCCGCGGCAAGCAGCACTTTCACAACTGGAACATGGTTCAACGATGCAGCCAAAGAGATCGGAGTGTAGCCGTCACAGGAGCGCACAGCAGCGACATCTGCCTTTGCAAAGGTGAGGATTCTAACCACCTCCACAAAGCCATGATATGCTGCGACGCAAACCGGTGTGGAGCCGTCTTCCTGAAAGGCTTTGTTGGGATCAGCTCTGGATTCCAAGAGAACACGGACCAGCGCTTTGTGGCCCCTCCTTGCAGCCTCCAGAAGTGGCGTTCGGCCGTCAGTGCTATTGGCTCCGTTGAGCCCGGCCTTTGCCTCCAAGAGCCATTGGACTACGTCCTCTCTACCGGTGTAAGCGGCCCCAATCAAAGGCGTCACGCCTTTGGGGTTCTCGGCTTCAACGTTAGCACGTGCTTCAAGCAAGAGTCGAAGAATCTCGATTTGCTCCAGCCTTGCTGCTACGGCCAGCGGAGCTCTCTCAGGATCTTGCAGGTCTGCCCTGGCCTGGATCAACATCTTTACGACCTTCGGATTTCCGAGGCGAGTGGCGTCTTCCATGGCAGTTGCACCAAACTCTGCCAATTCTTTGCCTGCCCTGGCCGCAGATGCAAGAAGCATCTTCACCACGGGCAAATGGTTCAAGGAAGAAGCCAGAGAGAGTGGTGTGGATCCATCGGAAGTTCGGGCTATCGTGACATCTGCCCTGGCCTTCATGAGCAGTCGAACTACCTCTGCGAATCCATGGTATGCAGCCACGCAAACAGGCGTAGAACCATCCTGTGTAAAAGCTTTGTCGGGATCAGCTTTGGCTTCAAGCAGAAGGCGAACCAATGCGTGATTGCCCCGGCTGGCCGCTTCCAAAAGAGGAGTCCGGCCATCCCTGCCATCTGCCTTGTCCAAGTCAGCCCTCAGCTGCAACAGCTCCTGGACTGCCTCTGTCCGGCCGAAATTGACAGCTACAAGCAGCGGTGTAGCAGACATCTCGTTCCCGGCATCGATCGCTGCACGCGCTTCGATGAGGAAGTGCAACATGTCGACGTGGTTCATCTGAGCTGCCACATGGAGCGGCGAGCGGCCATCCCCAGGATTGGTGCTGTTGCTGTCGGCATCGGCTTCGATCAGTAGACCTTGCTTTGCTGTCGTGCCCCAGGCACTATCAAAGCACGGGCAAAGCTACAGTCAAAGCGGACAGAAACCTGACTAACTCCTAGTTTCAGCTGCTCGCGCAGCGGAGGCTGTTGCTAGCTGCAGCATGCCACAAAGCCGTCTCGCCGTGCTGCAGCGTTAAATCCTCATGATGCCAAGAAGATCCGCAACAGAAACGACGCGGAAGACTAAGCGAAAGCTGAGCTGTGATTCTCTATGGTGGTGCCGAGGCTCCGGATCCAATGGCCGTTGCAAGAACTGTTCCAACGCAAGATTCTGATCTCCAGTCACAGCATCCAGCAGTTGATGACGTTCCCCCTCGTCGGCTGGGCAAAATGTTAAAACGACGAGGACCAAACTCGCGGGCAGCTCCACCATAGCATCATCTTGTAAAACAGCTCCTCCCTCACAAAGCAGTTTCTGGCGAAATCTAGGTTGGCAGATGATGCCTGACAAGTGCTGCTTCAATGACTTGATTGAATTGCCCAAGGTCTCCGTTATTTGATTGAACTCCTCCTCGGAAAGCGCCGCGATGGTCGCACCACTGAACATCGTCACCGTGAGAACATTCATGTTTGTTAAGCAGCTCAGGTAAGTCCAGCAACAAGGCACCAGGAAGACAATCCTTTAGCCAATACATTCCTAGGCACGGCAAGAAGTCAACCTTTACCGCATGGGCGACAGAAGACTTGCTCGCGGGATCACGACACGTTGTGAACCTCGAGTGGTGCCAATGCGTGTAAGTGGTAAACGTTTCACGTTTGAGCCTGCAGGCTGAGCAATGCAGCGTCTTTCCTGAGGAGTAAGTAGCATGGAAGCAACTTGCTGAACAGATATGATGAGAAAACACGGTGGACATCCAGTAAAAATGTCGTAAGACAATCTATCAACGAAGCACTCGTGCAAAATTAACACTCCACTCGAACCAACATCAACGGGTCTGGGCCGTGTACATCCGGGGTCCGTGGATGCAACGAACATGAAGATTGCATGCAGAAACCCTTCCGGGGGAATGCTGGATTCGCTGCAGGACTGAAAGGAACTCTTGAGTGGCCGACACTGGATTTGAAGAATCGAAACCGATTTACAAGCCGATTGAAGGTTCGAACTCGGCACAGCAGCTGAAGCTCACGACGACCAGCACCACCAGGCGGACCACCATGATCACGAATCACGACGATCTCGAACACACCACGACAACTAAGACGACCACGACGCCCAGAACCATCTGGACCATGAGGACATGCACGACCAGGATGACAAGGCTTACTTCCCCAATAAGCCAGTGAAATACAAGGTTAAACTTTCAGATTGCCACTAAATCATGAGAACCCAAAAAAAAAGGTTGGGTGTTGGAGAACTAAGAAGGACGACCCTGACGACCGTGCCCACCACAACAAGCTAGCAGGCATCAGGCGGCCATGAAGCTGCAGGCAGGACAGAAGGCAGCACACTCAAAATCGGTCCCCCTATGTACCGAAAAAATCCATGAGAAGATGCCCCGAAGAACCGCTTATGACGGAGCAGGAGTCCCACTCAAAATGCACACGGGAATTTGGAGACGAAGATTTTGAACACGAGCCGCAAGCAAAATGCGCCCAAAGGTGCCCCGCAGCAGGGTGGGAGCACGATTTTCGGGCGCGGAAACGCACCTCACCATGGACATGCTAGGATGTGATGCAGTTCGAACGTTTTGAGAACAACACCACAAAACTTGCTCCCCCCATGTACTATATGCTCCTTCCCTCCATGCAGTATGGGCCCCTACTACTACATGTACAAGCTGCGAGGGCCTGCAATAGCCTGCGAGTACTTGGTTCCAAGCCCCCACATGTCAAATCAGATATGATCCTCGGCCCTTGGCTTCTTATTTACGTAGCTAAACGTTGCTGTTTCGGCCCTAGCCCTAACGTAAAATCATGCTAACGTAGATCCCCCAAACACTGATAGAGCCCACAACGACCAAGACGACCACGGGACCACAAGATCACCCGCAGACTACCAGGAGATCTCCAGCAGACACCAGGTAGGGATGATGCAGGAGCACAGCCAAACTCTTTGCCCAAATTATTGACGGATTAAAGAGCGTGGCAAAATCTTTTTTCCCGAGTACTAGCTATGGGGAACGGCTTCCAGCGGATACTGCGTCCTGCGTAAACAATAAGACTTGACTCTCAAATTTTGCAGAAACAAACGGTCGCCGCGCTCATGCCACAAGGTGGGATCCTGCAGCGAGTTGGCGGTACCATGTCGACCGAGTGCCTCGTTGCAACCGAAGACGCCCGACTATTGGGATGATGTGATGACTTGAGGATATTGGCCACTGTTCATTATGGCGGCTGTAGACGAATGGCTTTGTGATACCTGATTTCCTCATTGGCAGGCTTCGCACAAGACTTCGTGTCACCGAGATCGGGAGGACAGCAGACAGCCGTCCGGCTCTGGATCGGGTGCCGAGCCAAACAATGAGCCCATTTCCTGCCTGTGTAGTTTTTGCGGTGCTTGCCCTTCAGGCAGGCGGTGCAAGGAGTAAACGTAACAAAGATTCACCGAATCAACGGCACCGCGCCACAGCAGAAATCCGCCGAGGCCAGAGGCCCACCACCTAATCCCCCCGCCCGGCGACGCCCCCT